CCTTTGGTCTGGAAGGTTTTTCTGTTCATTAGCAGCTTATACATGGTATGGACTAACCAACCTCTTTAAGATTCATGTCAAGCATTAGCCTTTCCCCATGCCTGAGAAACCACCCTTCCGTGCACCCACAGGATCCTGGACTTGTCTGTCTCTATCACAGCATCTACCACATTGTCCTAAAATAACTTCATGTATACATAGTTTTGTACTCTGTAAAATACTTGAAAGTAGGGGGCATGTCTTGGTCCTATTTCTATCCTTGGAGCTCAGTTTAGGCCATGAAAAAAGACTAATTGTTTAGGTTGGCCAGACAGCCCCAATCAGCCTGACTGGCGCCAGCTGGCCAACCTCGTGTGGTCCCTCCCCGGCCAGCTGGCCCCCATTGGCCCCTATTGGCCCTGATCACCAGCCAGGCCAAGGGACCCCACCCATGCACAAATTTGTGCACTGGGCCTGTAGTTGTCTATAAGCATATGTTGGGCCCAAACACCCAAGACCATGTTAACTATGGATGTTTCAAAATCCTTCAAAGGGGGAAAATCTTCACTCTGGAATAGAAGATTTAAATACATATATATTTTAAAAGAGTGTAAATGCCACAGGACATCTCATCTGCTTTATTCACAAGAGTAGTTGAAGGAATGCTCTTGGGAAAATGGTCTTTAATCTTAAATATACAATATAATGATGGGTTTTATTGGAGCTGCAAGGGTGGGAATACCCTAGGCACTTAATGAAGGGGTAGCAGAAATAATTACTGGCAGAAAAAATACTATGAAAATGAGGTAACTAGGCTCATGAAAGAAACCCACACATCCTTTTTGTGGCCAGCCTTCTTTCTAAGTTATCATCTCTGATAGAATTAATTATAAACCCTTTCTTGAGCATTTCTTCTAAGTGCCATGTAATAGATTGTTATTTACTACTGACTATTGACTTCTTTCAGTAGATAGCAGTTAAGAGATTTCATGAAATGCACAATCTGCTGAAAACAGGAGTATTCTAAAATACAGAAACTCGGTGGATGGTGGTTTTATGAAAAATAGGATTCAGTGCTTTGAAAAACTTTATGGAGAAGTTCTGTACTAACATGTAATCAATTATAAGCATATATTCATCCATCTTCCTATTATCCTCAAGGGTAATAATGCCGTTTGATTTATTAAAATAAATCATTTGGAAAAATTTAATACCATTTTTCTTTTGAAATGGTTTACCATCCTTGAGGATGCAAGTTTTCTTTATTTTTTATATATATATTAGAGGCCTGGTGCACAAAAATGTGTGCACTTGGGGGGTCCCTCAGCCCAGCCTGTGCCCTCTCGCAGTCTGGGACCCCTGGGGGGATGTCCACCTGCTGGCTTAGGCCCGCTCCCCAAGGGAGCGGGCCCAAGCTGGCAGTCAGACATCCCTCTGGCAGCCCGGGACCCCTTGGGGGATGTCCACTTGCCAGTGGGGAGCAGACCTAAGCTGCAGTCGGACATCCTTAGCACTGCTGAGGAGGCAGGAGAGGCTCCCACCACCACTGCTGTACTGGCAGCCATCAGCCTGACTTGTGGCTGAGCAGAGCTCCCCCTCTGGGAGCACACTGACCACCAGAGGGCAGCTCCTGCATTGAGCGTCTGCCCCCTGGTGGTCAGGGTGTGTCATAGTGACCAGTCATTCCCAGTTGTTTTGCTGTCAGGGTCCATTTGCATATTACCCTTTTATTATATAGGATAGAGGCCTGGTGCACGGGTGGGGGCCGGCTGGTTTGCCCTGAAGGATGTCCCAGATCAGGGTGGGGGTCCTGCTTGGGTGCCTGGCCAGCCTGGGTGAGGGGCTGATGGCTATTTGCAGGCTGGCCACAGCCCCTTCAGGGTGGGGGGTCCTGCTGGGGTGCCTGGCCAGTTTGGGTGAGGGGCTGAGGGTGGTTTTCAGGCTGGCTAAGGCCCCCAGTGGGGACCCTCACCCCATGGGGGTGTGGCCAGCCTGTGTGAGGGCCACACACCCCGGCGGCCCAAGCTCCCAGCCACTCCTTTTTTTCTTTTCTTTTTTTTTCAGCGCCTCTTTGAATGAAGGGCAGGGCTGGCTGGAAGCAGGTATCTGGGATTTATTTATCTTCTATAATTGAAACTTTGTAGCCTTGAGCGGAGCCCAGGGCCAGCCAGGGCAGGTGGGAAGCTTGGCTTCCTCCATCGCTGGGGGCAACCCAAGCCTCCTGCTTGCTCCAGCTCCATGACCTCTGCCATCTTAGTTGGGTTAATCTGCATATTCTCTCCTGATTGACTGGTGAGCATGGCTTGTGGGTGTAGTGGAGTGGAAGAGGGCCAGAGTGATGGTTAATTTGCATCTTTCTCTTTTATTAGTGTAGACTAGAGGCCCCTCGGTGTGGCCTGCAGGTATTGGGCCGAAACCGGCAGTCCAACATCCCCGGAGGGATATAGTAATTTGTAAAGTGGCAGGCAGCCAGGAGGAGCCTGAGCCCGGGGCCAGGTGCCACACTGCTCCCACTCATCCTGGACCTGCTGCGCCTGCCACAACCACTAGGTAGGCTCTCTGCTGCTCTGCTGCGGTCTCCACATCCGTCCTAGGGAGATATCCGCATGCCCATGAGAAGCAGCTGTAGGCTCTCACCCAGTCAGTCCCAATGCTGGTCCCAATTCTGGTATCAGTCCAGATGGGGGAGTGGTATGCAGAGGGAGTGTCTGTGGGAGAGGTTCATGACACCGCATCTGTACTCACCAGCCCTGAACCTGGCGCCTGGGCCCATCAGTCAGATAAGCGGCGCTCCCACTGTGGGAGTGCAATGACCGCCAGGGGACAGCACCTGCATTGAGTGTCTGCCCCCTGGTGGTCAATGCATGTCATTGCAACCGGTCAAATGGTTGAACAGTTGCTTAGGCTTTTATATATATAGATTTTTTTTTATTTCAGAAAGGAAGGGGGAGGAGAAAGAGATATAAACATCGATGAGAGAGAATCATTGATCAGCTGCCTCCTGCACACCCCCAACTGGGGATCGAGCCTGCAACCTGGGCATGTGCCCTGACAGGGAATTTAACCATGACCTCCTGGTTCATAGATCAATACTCAACCACTAAACCATGCTGGCTAGGCAATGCAAGTTTTCACTTATGTGTGTTTTGAGGGTGCTATTAAGACTTTGGGAGGCATGCCAAAACAGAAAGCATCAGACATAAGTGATATTCAGTTGAGATAAACACCCTTGCTACCAGACCACCTGATGGAAAGATTTTATGTGCAATAGGTAAATCCTTTAGGATATTCCAGTCCTAGAAAATAACAGTTTCCTTCTGTTTCACATTAAGTGTTGAAAAAAGTATTAGTTTGGCAGTAGTGGAACAATGTTCCCAGTTTGAATACAATGGACAGAATCAGACAGAAATATTTCTAATTTGGTCCTGGTCCCAATATTCAATACAATATAAACCAAGCATCAGTCAAGTCTCATTTTGAAGACTATTGAGCTAACATTTCTCATTTCTGTCTTTGGGGATCTGTTTAACTAGGAGAAAAAAGGAAGATAATGCCATGACCAACTAAAATGGTGATTCAAGAAGCCTGAATTGCCTGCAGTAATTGCTGCTATGTTCCCAGGAGACTATCATCGTTTGTACTCAGTGGGAATTCAATAAATACTTGTTGGTTGACACATATAATGGGAAAATAAAATTTACAGATGGACTCCAACTAGAGAATAAGATGGAGAGGAAGAATCTTGATTTTGATCATCTGAACTCTTTAATGGTCTAAGTTTATATCATTGAATATCTGAATTATAAATAGGTTTAACCATCATGTCATTTACCTTCATTTTACAGAGGAGACACCTGAGGCCCAGAGAAGTCAAATGACTCACTCAAGGTTCCAAAGCTAAATTCCAGGGATAATTTTTGAGTTACCTAGCAGATAGGAACCACTCCTGGAGTAATGCTGCCTGGTTTCAAATTCTGGCTCTGCTATTTGCCAGCTATATATCTTCTGAACAACTCTTTAACCTCTCTCAACCAAAGTCTCCCTCTCTCAACCTCATAATTACTGTATAGCCTTAAACAGAAGATTTAATGAGCTACTAATAGAAAAAGAAAAACTATTTAATAACCATACTTGACACATAGGATATGTTCAATAAATGTTACTATTGTATTACACATTTTAATACCCAGTGTGGCCTTGTGATCCTAAGAACAAAGGCTTTCAAATGTGAACTCAAACTCCTAAAAATCTGGATAGGATTGCTTAGAAGTGGCTTGAGGCATAAAAAGATCTTTATGCTCTCTCCAAACAGAGAGGCAAAGTGAAGTTTTTCCTCTGTCAGCTTTTCCAGATGGTAGAATATTGTAACCCAGCACCTAAAAGTGAGACCTGATCGATTACTCATATAAGACAAAATTTTATTTATGTCTTTATTTAACTGCTGATATCTGTTCCTCCCTTTAAATGGTACTGACCTATTTCCTCTATTTGCAAAGGAATTCTATTATAACCTCAGAGAATTTACTGACAGCAGCAAGAGTATGTTTAGGCTATTTTACAAAGCTATTGCAAGCGCCTCAATAGGGGCAAAAACAGTTTGCAATGTTCTCGATTCTGAAGAAGAGAAGTCATTGGTGTTCTGTGAAGCAGCAGGATGGCGGTGTCAGAATGACAGTGCTTGGCAATATTTTCACAGCCATCATTTAAGGTTGGCTGACTCATAAGTATTGACACAGTGAGGAGGGCTGCTGATTAGTGTAAGTCAAGCCCTGTGATCCAGGCTCTTGCCTTTATTCTGTTGCTTATCATCAACTACTAAACTAAATTTTCCTCTTGAACACAGCTACCTGTTTAAACTACCTGGAAATTAACTTGAGACTTAATTTGGAAACTTGGAATAATACTATTCCTAGAGAAACTTAACAGAAAAAAAAAGACGTTCATTTCTTAATAATGCTAAATCTTAGAATAATGTACTGCAGGCTTTGCTGCTCAAAGTGTGTCCACATATCAGTGATTGGCATCACTGGGAGTTGTTAAAAATGCACTGTCCAACCTCATCCCAGGCCTCTGATTTAGAATTTGCATTTTAATATTTTAAAGTTCAGAGTGATTCTGATACACTTAAAAGATAGAGAAACACTGATTTGAAGAAATAGGTGGGGAGGGGAGTGATTCTGACAGGTGGTTACTATTTCATGTCACCAAGATGATGGTAAATAGAGATAAACTGAAGTGAGTAACAGAACCTGGAATCAAATATTAAAATAACAACAGCAACAACAGTGGACTTTAGCAACACTGATGTTTAGTGAATTATATTTGCTTTTCTTTTAGGCATTATTTATACCGTTGACTTATTTTAGTTCTTTTTTTTTCTTTTGGTCTTTAGATCAGGGAGCTCTGTGGTTGGAACTCCTACTTGTACAAAAGAAGCCACCTCTTTAAAAGTCCTTGAAATATGAAATACAAGAGTTCACCCACTTGTTTGCATGTAGTTAATATCATGTTTCCCAAGTCTACTACAGCTACTACAAAGAGAAGACTTGCTTATTGTTATCTGTTTCACTGGGCTTATATTAGGAGATGTTCGTGGTTACTTTAAGGCAATTTCTGGAGGCTACTGTCTCTTTTTTGTCCCAACTGCCTCCTGTTCATTTTTAATCATCCTAGAAAGTGTGTGTGTGTGTGTGTGTGTGTGTGTGTGTGTGTGTAGGGCTTGACAGAAATTGTCGAGAGGTTAATATAACAATAAATGGAAACCACAGTGGTGTATAGTCACTGGCACATACACAATATATCACACGATGTCAGAAGAAAATCCTTCTTAATTCAATCAATAATATTATTTCCTGAGAAGAAAAGCCTTGCTCTTAAGTATCTATTTTTTTCTGCATTAGTATTATTCTACAGAGGCTTTGCATTCACTGCTCAGTAACTATGATTCTGGATAGCAGAGATCATTGACTGTAAAAGCTGTCTATTTTACTGTTTTATTTGGGAAAAATATTTTCTATCCTGAAGTATATAAATCAGAAAATATTTTTGATATTATGCTAGTCTTTAAAACAAACAATCCCATAAACCAATATGGAATTATATTATAATTTTAAAAATAACAAAATTAACATAACCTAGTTTCAAACCCATTAATGTAATGTATGATTATCATGTCATTTTCCCAGCTATGGATGGGTGGATAATAGCAATAATGAATAAGAATATAAAAATGAGTAATGCTTTAGTAATGAATTTTTGTCTGAATTCTCCTTAAAGCTATTTTATTATATTATTTGTCCATTCTTATTTTTTAAATTAATTTTGGTGAACATTTCCTATTACATAACTTCAAAAGTTACTGTCCATCAGGCTACTAAGACATGATTAATAAAATAAGCAATGGTGTTATTTCCCATAGACATTTTCCCCCCTACTTACATTATCTAAAAACCAAAGCATATTATAGACCATTCTCTTAACCAGGATAAACTATCCAGGCTGTGTTTATACAGAACCCTCAATCCTAAAATTCCTCTTTGTTTTCCATCTTTCTAGGAGTTATTTCCAATCTACTCATTTCAATGTTTTATCAGAGAAAATATTAAATAAACCTCAGGTCTTGTTGGTAGCTATCATTAAACGGAGAAACAAAGAAGAATAAGCAAGTCAAGTTTTATTATTTTTCAGTGCTAGTGCTTTTTATTTTCCCACATAGCTCTAACACTTTTGTGGAAAGGTAATTCATATTTTAGTAGAAGGTATTTTTCATTGATTTATCTGCTCAGTGAATATTTTTTTAAAGCAAGTACATATATACATCGCGGAGTGAGTAAATAGATTGTATTATTCCATCATTAGGAGCTATTTCCAGTGGCACCGCAATTAAATTATTTTTCTGAGCTTATATATGAAATTCAATACAGAGCTTTTTTTGTTGTGGTGGTGGTTTGGGTTAATAGAAACTTCCCAATTCAAATTAAAGAAAAACCTGAAAAGGTGTTTTTAAATATAGTCGACAGAATTATACATTTTTTACAATTCTAAAAAGTATAATGTGCCAAACAGAATACTGACTACTGGCAAAGGCATTGATTACCTTTGAGCTCTCCTAATCTTCTCCTATTTTATAAATTACTTATGTGGGTACTTTCAAGGTACCAAAATAAAAGGATAAAAATATTATTATTTATCTACATGATACATATTACTTGTTTTTTCCTAATTTGTTTAGCTGCAATAGCATAGATTGAGCATGATTTGCATATGTACACATGTTATTATGCTACCAAGCATTTGTAAATATTGTGTTTGGGGTTGCTTTGTTTTAGTGACATGTATGTGAACAAAATATTTTAAATAAGTCAGTCTATTAAAAATCATTTTCACATCAGAAAATATTCATTGTGCATTACTTTTTAAAAATTGGTTTCCTTTTTCTAATACAATAATTAGATGACTTATTTTGAAATAGTCTTTTAAATAAGCTATTTAAATCTGGGTAGATTACTATTGGGGTGAGCACTTCCTAAGGTATGTAAATGCCTAATCACAATGTTACTAATTTGACATAATTACAGTATGTCAACTGTAATTGAAAAAACCAATTTAAAAAATAAAGTTGGGTAAGTTACAACTATAAAATACAGAAATGTAATAGTCATACTTTTTATTATAATCATATTCAATAGATTATAAACATATTTCTCCCTTCCTGTCAACATCTTTAAAAAATTCTTAAACCTTAGCATGTTAAAATAGAATGACACACTAGTAATGAAATGAAGACAATTCAATAGCCTTTACAACTATAAACGGATAAAATCCCTAAAGGTTATAGTCTTTAAATTATTCAGGCTCTCTAAATTCCTACTGCCACAATATTTTTTTCGCAAGCGGGAAAAAATGACATGTTGCTCACCTAGATCTAGCTGTTCCCTAGGTGGTTGGTTCTAGAAAAGCAACAGGTTTTCCCCCCTGCCTTACCGGAAGCAACAGTTAGAAACTCTAACAACTAGAAAACTGCTACCCCTCAGTGGTTGGAACCATCCAATAGAGAAACTGTCAGATATGATTTCAATCCATTTTTGCAATAGCTTCAGAAAGGGAGGAGAAAAAACACACACAATAGAATGTTAACCCTTGGAAATGAAAGGACTGCGCTGTTAACTCTCGCCCCCTTCCTTCCACCATCCTTTTAATCAGCAGGCTTTTGCAGCAGGCTTAAGTTTCCAGGGCAAAACAAAGCAATAACCGGAGTCATTCTGTTTCATCTTAGATTTGCAAAATGCAACAAGGCAAATTCATCAACCCCCCACATGGGAACCACACGAGCCTGCCCAGAAGCTGGCTTGAGCACTTTCGCATTAGCAAGCATGGACTATTGTCTCAGCCTGTTGCTCCTGCCACGGGGTGTGCTGGAGCCTGGACGGAGGGAGGGGACACCGAAACCTCCTCCGTGTGCTTGTGTACTCGGTGCCGGGACTGGGTCTGTCCGGCTCCAGGCTGCGGGGAACCGACCTGGAGGAAAGGAGGCTGCGGACCTGGGTCCGAACACCCAAGTGCAGGCCGCCTGCCGCCGGCAGATGGTGCCCTCGGCATCGGAACACCAAAGGAAACCCTGCTCGAGTCCCGCTCAGACTCCGCCCCACCCGATGGGATCCGCGGCTGCCAGTCACCCGTCTTCCCCCAAATAGTGCCGCGCACGCTTCCTCCGGAACACCGCAGTAGCCCGAGTGTGTGTGTGTGCGTGTGCGTGTGTGTGTATCCAAATACAAACCAGGGGCCACAGGGAGTGTGTGTGTGCCAGAGCGGGGAGCGCACGCGGAGTGGGACTCCCGCGGCCGGGGCGAGATGACCGCCAATGAAACGCAGAGGACGCGGGGACCGGTCCATTTCGTATCTGCGTAAGCCCGGCCGCCGAGCCCGTCCGGAGACCACTCACCATGTTCACTTCGGAAACCATGTCTATGCTGGCGACATCGATCCGCATCCCGACGTCCACGGGGGGCCCTGCCGGGGAGATGGGACGTATTATGGGCATATTCTCGGAGTGGCGACAGACTGGGGAGGGGACAGGGGCTTCCTTGGCACTTCCTACATTCTGAATGGGCTCCCTGGACTCCCATCCCTCCTAGCGGGGGGGGGGGGGGGGGGGCAGCTTGGGAAAACAGGTGTGGGCACACGCGTGATGCAGTGACTATGCAGAGGGTGTGTCGGGCCGGGGTAAGGTTGGCTCTGCCTGGGGTTTCATCCACCTGCTACTGGGGGGATCCTATGTGTGTGCGTGCGTGCGTGTCTGCGTGTGTGTGTGTGTGTGTGTGTCTCCAAGGCGTAGGGCATAGTGCACGCTTACGAAAATTACATGCTTTTTTCCCCCTGACATTTATCTTTGTCAGGAAAAGAGAACTAGGTGTGGGTTACAGGTTGAAAAAAGATGAAGCTTTACCTCCAAAGTCCGGCCGCAAGCGAATGTCATATCCTTTGAGCAATCTGTCCACTGTCTCTTTCACGTATGACATGTTGCTGGGCTCATTGGCGCTGAAGGGAAGAAGTAGGGACCGTATTCAGAATGAGCACAAACTGCGAGCAGACATAAAAATAGATAGGCACACCTACCCCCAAATAACAAGCAACATGATCCAGCAAGCATGTAACAAGAAAAACACTCAGGAAGAAAAAAAAAATAGAGAGAAGCCCCAGACTCTCTCGATTATGCACTGTCCACATTACTAACTCTGATTAAAGAATTGTCTTTTCGGCGAAGATTCAAGGAATGCAACTTAGTCGGCGGCAGGGCAGTAATTCCCGAATGGACCTGCGCATGCGCAGAGGGTGCTCTCGACCAAAAGACACCTTGTGCCTTGCAAACAATATTCCTAGTGGAACAGGCAACAGATTTCAATCCCTTTAAAGTTCCTGTTTGTGGTGCTCTGCGTCCTCGGAGTAGTCGGAGATATCCTGCTGCTTGCTTGTTGGGAATCCTACGTGCATGTGTTTTGGGATTGGAGGTTGCTATGATCTTTTCCTCTATGCCCTCAACCTGCCTTTTTTTTTTTTTTTTTTAACTCAACTCGCAGGCATCTGGCTAAGGCTGCCTGTGATTGGAACCTTTCGTTAACAGTCACAGTGGTCCCAGAACTGGGAGTTTGGAGTGAGGGCGGTTTTCTGGTCGCCAGTGTGTGTGTGTGTGAGATGGGAAGGGGGAGGGAGGAAAGCTTGGCGGTGGGGTGAGGTGGAGAATGAAGTGAATTGAAGAGGGAAAGCCAAAGAAGGGAAAAGGCAGAGGAAACCCAGGAATATTTGAGGACTCCAAGAATCTGGTCCCCCCAGGGAGGCTTTTTAAGACTTCCCTGTTAGAGTAGCCCATCTCTGTGGGAGGGAGAGGAGGAGGGGCGGGTCAGTTTCTCCCCCTCTCCCCTCCCCCGCCCCCGCTTCCTTTCTTCCCTCCCCCTTTTAGTCTCTGCAGCCTAGGATGGAGGTAGGAGGGGGGAACAAGCAATGAGACAGCATCTCTGGGCAGGCAATCCTTTTTCTATGGCCACTGGGCCCAAGTTCCACTTTTCTTCTAGGTTCTAGTGAGGAAAATCCCTTTCATAAATTGCCAGTGTGTTAGCTGGTATATAGTAACCCAGAAGGGGCTCTGAAACACCCAGAGGGTCTAACCTCTGTTTGCAAGTAGATTGGGGTTCTGTAGGAGCAACAGTTGTGTGAATTAAAATAAATTCAAACAATGCAATTTGATAAACGTCACTGAGCACAAGTTAGGAGGGAAGCCCTGGGCTAGGGGTTGGTTCATTAAAGAGGATTCCTGTCCTAGACAAATTCACAAATCAGGCAGAGGGGTAAAAATATAGGCATATAAAATATAGATCTCTAGACAGTGTTATGGTGACAGGGCTGTTAATTCTACCAGGGAGAAGTGGGATATGGTTTCAAAAGAGAAATCTTTTTTGCCAGAGCAGGGAGAGAGGGGTATTCCAGAAGGAGGGAACAACATCTGCCAAATCCTAGAGACTTAAAATACTGGTCTGCTTGAATAGCTACACCCTGAAAAGACTGAGCAGAATATAAACCAGGGAGGTAGGGATAGTGGGTGATGAAGGTGTAAAGGGAAACTGAAGCCAGACTATAAATAAAATTATATACAGTACTATTCAGATATGAGCTTCTAGAAAGCACTGGAGGTTTTAAGTAGGAATGGTCAAGGTCAGATTTAGGCTTTAGACAGAATGTTCTGGTAGAATAATCATAAGAACAATTAACATTTGTCATTTGCTGACTATTTACTGGTTATTGTGTATACATTACCTATTATCTCTTTTAACTTTATAATAATATAAATGTGATATATATTATAAGGGTTATTATGACAACCCCAAGCAAAGGGAACTGCAGCATGGAGAGGTCATAGACTAGTGCAAGGTTTCTAAAGTATAATGGGGGCATCAAATAATTGGGGAGCTCGGGGCTTGGAAACTTTCAGAAGGTGCTAATGAACTGTACAAACATTTATAAAAATGTAGATCTTGAAACTATTCATATAAATTAATTTTATTTTCTCATTTGAGCCTCATACCAACCCTAAACTATGAGGCTACTTCTTCTGGGGACACTGTTAGCTCATAATCTGTTTTCTTAATTTTCTTAAAAGTATGTGAAGTCTACCTCTTTAATTTATATGGATTCTCTTTAATGGGTAAAGAGAAAATTAGTTATTCAGGTTCTCACTGAAGCAAAGAACCTCTCTATACTGCACAGCTCTTTGCAAAAGCCAGGCTGTAGAAAATTAGATCTGTGGACATTTACTTTATTCATTTGTTCACTCATTTATTCCTCAAGTATGTATTGAACGTTAACTGTCAGTCACTATGCTAAAAGCTGGTGATACAACAGTAAAAAAAGACAGCATACAGAGTCCTTTTGCACATGGAATTTGTCAATTGATCCATCTATGGGTGGTTGCAAATTGTCAGCCTTGCTAGCCAAATTCTATTCATAATAGAAGCATTTAGTTTGGCGTTTACTGTGTTTGTGTAACTTATAAAGCTTTCACTGGGATATATGTTTTCCAGTTGGTCATGCATCCCCAAAGCTCCTTTTGAACAACCACCAGGATTTTATTTAACAAGAGCCAAGATTTTGTCCTAGCCTTAAGGAAGAATATCACTGACTGTGTATACTTGAATTCTCATGTTTAGCATGCCCCCGTTCAGATCAATTTCACGGAATTTGGCTTTTAAATGATGCCTTCCACCTACATGGAAGCACACTACAAGAACTCATAAGATATTCATGATCACATCTATTATTGGGATGCTATTGAGGATAAAGCCCAGTGTATCGCTTAGTATCTTATGTATGAGACCTAGTACTCCGGAAATTTTTTCACTTCCCAAATAGCTTTTATCTTCTGGGCAATATGAATCCTAAAATTCATCAATTTCCCTATTTGCTTTGGCCACTGAGAATATTAGAATTATAAGTACAATTCAGCTTTAATAATGATGTAAGATCTTAATGACCTGAATTTTGATATATTACATTTCTCCATGATGACTTGGAATTTTAATTTTTTTTTCCTTTCTCACACTTTACTAACTTAAAAACAGTATGTTGCACTGAATATATATATAGTGTGTAAGTTGCCTTGAATAATTTCTGGCACTATTTGGGAAAGAAATAAATTTAAAATAAGAAATAAGTAATTAATTTAAAAAAATTAAAAACCACCAGATCCAGAAACAGTGTGGGATTTATTATGGCTTGAAAAAGCCAATACTTACATTCTCTGTGAAGTTGCTTGTCTTTCCCCAAAACCAATGCTCTTAATTAAGAGCTTCCCTCCTTCAAGATTCAAATCAATTTCCACTTTTTGTTCAAGCTATTCCTGCAACTATTATCTTCTGATAACTCTTAGAAGGACTGAAGGAGGATCCTAAAAATAATCACCCAACTAAGATGGAAGTGTCTGAAGATCAAGATATATTCTTACCTACTCTTAGTGAATATGCTTATTGATTAGAATATAGAATAAGCAGCTTTAAATTCTGTTTTGAATTGGGATCAAACTTGGAAATGATGGTTTCACTTACAAATTAGTGTGGCTTATTTATTTATTCTTGTAAATACTGAATCCAGACAAATAATGTATAGGCTAAAGCTCTTTTTAATAAGCTATATCAAAGACACTGTGTAGCTCTAATGTAGATGAAACACCCGAAAAGGAGTACTACAGAATTTGTTAAAACAAAATAATAAGGATTTAATTTTATAGTTTAAGATTATAACTAAAGTTCATTCCAGTCAGTATGGCTTCTTTTTATTGAGCATCTATTATGTGCCTAGCAAGTATGCAACTCTGCAGTCATAATTAGTCCATTATTATTTGTCCTCAACTTAGTTTAAAATCTTATGTGAATGGATATATTAGCTTGGATATATGTGAAAGAAAGGTGATAATAATTGTTTGGAAGTACTATAAAGGAGATTCTTAAACATAGTTAAAGAAGTGCCCATCCTGACTCAATCCTGCATTTTCCAGATATTAACTTCAGTATAAAAAATTAAGCATTTGGTTAAATTAATGTTTCAAATTAGTGGATTAATAACATGTTTTCTAGTGAATAATAGAAAAAATATCTTTGAAAAAATAATTAATATTGTAAAAGCATTTCCTTATAGTTTTTATTAAAATAAGTTTCAGATTAATGAAGGACTTAAAGGTAAAAATATGAAATCATAGAAATAATAGATAGGTACATGCATAATAACCATTCATCATGTAATAAGTGAATATAGAACATATTTTCTCTTTGACAAATGCTGGTCAAAGGAGAAAAAATTTTAAAAAACTATATATTGATATGAATACATAATTATAAAATTGTTTTTAAATCATATACCTGAAAAATAATTAATTGTGATAGAGGAACTTCCATGAAAATATGAATATTCAACATTTTACCAGAGGTATGATATTTCAATGAGACAAATAAAATTGGGGGGAAATCATAGAAAAATAAAAAAGGAACTAAGCTTTCCTTATTTCCACATGGTAAGTCTGCCTAGAAAGAAAATCTAACAGCATCTCCATATATATAAGACTACAATAAGAGAGGTAGGCCAGCTGGCTGGAATGAAGATCAAACAACATTTAAATACATGTTACCAGCATTACTATCCACAGCAGTTATCAATAAGAAAACATAATAGGAAAACTTACTTCATTACAATAATAGCAAAAACTTCAATATACCCAAGAATAACTGAAACAGAGATGTGCAAGAGCTTTAGAGAGAATCTATATAACATTATGGATGGGCATAAAGTAAGACCTAGACAAAGGAAAATGTACCATATTTGAGACGGGAGACTCAATAACTATAAAGATGTCAATTGTACCCACTCTAAGAAATATCATCCATTTGAATCAAAGTTCAAACATTTGCAGTGGAAATTAAGAAACCAACCCTAAAACTCAAGTGCAAGATTAAACAGGAAGAGAAAAAGGACAAGAAAATTTTGAAGAAAAAAAAAAAGAGGAAGGTTAAGAGACACTTATCTTTGAGATACCAAGACCTATTGAACTATAGAAATTGAAGCAGTGAGTGTTCAGTTCATGAAACAGTGGGATTCACATAAAGACAAGAAAAGATAGTACAACCAAATAAAGAGCATAAATATATCCCTCTCTTTTAGGTAAAAATAAACTATTCGATAAATGCTGTGGAGATAATTTATGACCTGTCAGGGACAAAAAAAAG